TATATATATATATATATAGCCGGTATTAAAGTGGAATTTCTATTCTAATATTATAGAGAAAAAGACAATATTTATCCAAAGTCCCTGTGATTGGACAGTGATCATCTTGATTTTAAGCCTCAACCCAGAGCTAAACCCAGAGGCCAACATTCATGGGTACACAGTTCCTATAGATGTATAAATAAAAAGCTAATATCACTTTAAATACGTCCCTGAACTCCTTATAAATACAGGAATATGAATAGATTATGCATTGGCCCTGAATGCCGTATGCATAGGCCATTCCTTAGTCATTGGCCCTGAAACCCGTAATGGTCACGAAATCAACATTAAGCTTTGTCCAGATTATCAAATTTTCTTAAACAAAATAAAAATGTTTTATGCCTATATATAGTCTTAATGTGCCTATATATGGGCATGATGTGATGTCATCATGACCATATTTAGGCATGTTACATGTTTTTGTCAAATGAAATATGATAGTCTGGACAGCTATTCCTAGCTTTGTTATGAATACTGCTATTATTATTGGACTGTCTATCAAATAATATAAGCTTTACCGGGTATCGAACGATTGAAAATATTTTGCTGTAAAGTTATATTGGTTTTATTAATTATTCCATAGTGTACTAATAGGGCACATAGTACTTTTTACTCATAAAAAATTAAAATAAGATAAAAACGTACACGCATGACATAAATGACTTTCTCCTACAATGTGGACATCTGGTTTTTGAGGGTTTTTAAATATGTTTTTTGTAAAAATATAGTGATATTTCAAATAGCATGAAACCGAAACGTGTGAACGTGATTTAACATACCGGTATTTGTTTTTTAATGCAAAAAAACCAAATTGGTTATTGTCACAATATAGATATGAACTACAACTCAACGCTAATGCAATACAAGTAGCAACATTCAGGGGCGGATATTTTAACGAGATGACACGAATTTCATATAGGCCTAGATGTAATATAATCATACAGATAAGTATGTATTCAATAATAGTTGGATTCGTGTTCAGTATAGTGTTGTTACAAAATAGCAAGTTCATAATAGGCCTAAATGTAATATAATTAATACAGATAAATATGTATCCAATAATTGTATGATTCGTGTTCTGTACAATGCTGTTACCAAATATTGTAACATTCAGTATTTGTAAGTCATTTTTTTCTGTTAAAAACAAGAGACGGTTGTGGGTACGGGGAGAGGCGACGTGCCCCTCACTAAACCCGCCCCTGACATTATTACATCATCATAATCAATACCGTCATTATCATAATTATATCATCATTACCAAAGCCTGCACTACCACCATCATCTGATTGTTAATCATCATTATGATGAATATCACCACCAGTATCGTTATCATCATTAGCACCACTACTACCATCGTATTTATCACTCCGACCACTATCATCATCAGCAACATAGAATATGATTAGATTGATTATGACATGATGATAAGCTACCACCATCATTATCATATCACCATTCACCACAATACCCACCACCTCCACCATCATCATCATCATTCAATCACCACCACCACCATTATCATTTATTTTCGTCACCATTTGTATTTTCCTTCTCAATCATCGTCCTCCCATCATCATACCATATCCATTAACGTCATCATCATCACAATCGTCATCTTCATTATCACTTTATATCACCACTACTATCTTTTCACATTATTATTATGCTAACATCACCATCACCACCATCACCAGCATCAAGAGCATTCTCCTTGTAATCATCTAACCATAATCGTTGTCATATCATCCTCCTTATTATATTTTTCTGTCCGGCCAATTATCGTGACCATCATCCATCAGCAGTAACATAAAATACCATTAGCATCATCGTCGCATCATCATAGTCATCATTATCATTATTATCTTCCTCCTCCTCCTCCTCATCATCATCGTCTTTATAATAACCACCATCATCGCCACTATCATCATCGCCACTATCATCATCATCACTATCATCATCGCCACTATTATCATCATCACTACCATTATCTGATCATCATCATTACCACCACCCTCATCATCATCACACACCATTACCATCAATGCCGTAGCCAGGATTTTCAAACAGAATGGGACAATATCAGAGTGGACCCACTTTATGCGTAAACTCAAACAATGTGGACCCATTTTACGCAAAAATATGAAAAATCTAAACCCATTTTCTTAAATTTTACCAATTTTAAGCTAAATAAGAGAAATCTGGACCCATTTTTCAAAAAGTGGATCCATTTTACGCATAAAATTACATAATTTGGACCCATTTTTAAAAATGTGGACCCATTTTTTTGTGGACCATTTAGAAGAATTGTGTGGGACTGTCCCAATAGCTGTATACGGCATTGATTACCATCATCATATTTATCCTTATCATCAATATTCATCATCATCTTTACCATCATCATCCCTACATTATCTGATCATTATCACCACCACCACCTTCACCACTACAGCATTACCATCATCCGACATCATCCTCATCGTCAACATCACCACCACCACCATTATCTGATCATCATTAACACCATCATCACTACAGCATTACCATCACAATCATCGTCATCCTCATCATCCCTATCATTAACCAATCATCCCCACCACCTCCATCATCACTACGGTTACCATCATCATCATAATTATCATCACCACCATCCTCATCATCACCACCACCACCGTCCTCATCATCATCACCACCACCGTCCTCATCATCATCACCACCATCATCATCCCTACAATTATCCAATCATCATCATGATTCCCACCATCCTCACCCTCATCATCATCCTCATCCCTACAATTATCCGATCATCATCATCATCACCACTACTATCATCATCATCATCATCCTCATCATTATCATCCTCATCACCATCATCATCCCTACCATTACCCGATCATCATCATCCCCACCATCATCACTACAGTTACCAGTTACCATCACTACTATCATTATCCTCATCATGATCATTCTCATCACAACCATCAACACTACTACAGTTACCACCATCACCACCGTTATCATTATCACCTTGATCATCACATTCATTATCATCATCATCCCTACCATTATCCGATCATCATTATCATCATCACTACAGTTACCATCACCACTATCATTATCATCATCATCATCCTCATCATCACCACCACCGTCATTACTTTCATTATCAACTTCCAATACTACCCATCATCGTCACCATTTTATCATCATCATCATCATTACCAATACATATCATTAGGGCCTATACGTCACCATTGTCATTTTTGTTCACCATAGTCCTAACATTTTACCTTATCTAACATTGAATCCACGAAGGTCACACCGTTATTAAGTTTACCGTCATCACTACTTCCATTTTTACCCTCAATGACATGTTCCACATACCCCTCCCTAACGCAATAGTAAATACATATCTAAATAATTTACCTCACGGAGACCATAGAGAAAATTAACGTACGAAAGGTTGTGTGAATTTATAATTACGATCTTATGTAAACAGATAGCAAGTCCAGTGTCACGCTGGGAGATTAGTTTTATACTATCGTAGGCTTCGTATAGCTACGATTCGTGTCTATTTTTAGCGCGGTACAACAGCGCTCAAAATGATGTTTATTGAAACGTAAGAAAGAATATCGAACCGACAGACGCAACAAACCTACGATAGATTTAAAACATATTCACACTGATAACCTTAGTACGTCGGCTGACACTTAAACATACGTTATACTTCACGGGCCTACGCAAATATTAAATTATAAGAAATGAAATGTAACTATATAATGACATTATAATATTGATACTGATAATAATACTAATACTAATAATAATAACAACAATAATAATAATAGTAATATTAATATTAATAATGAAATAAAATAACAAGAATGAATACGGTAGTAATAATGATGATAATAGTAATAACAATTATGTAGTAATAATAGTAATAATATATCATATTATTAATAATAAAAATAAAAATAATTGTAATAATTGCTTACGTCATTTGTTTGACTATCGTACTTTTTCCAGATTCTCCTGCACCTGTAAATACGAGAAATTGAATTGTCATTTAAATTACAAACGTCTTATAATATTAATAAACCGTGTATTATTATCATTTGATATTCCGTTTCGAAGTCTTACCTGCGTACACCTATGCCATTGTATAAATATAGATGCGATACATATGATATATATCGCTATATCAGACGTTTAACTGAGTTTAAAGCTGTTAAATACAAGATAATATTCTAGTGGATAGCGAAATTCTTACCCAGGAGTAACAATTTGATGTCTTTGGCTGCATTAATCTTATCCTCTTTAATACGCTTGTCTATCTGTTTACTGTTTTCCGTGGCCGCCCTGTCTTCAGCGCTCATTGCACACCCCATCGTCTATGGTCTGTTTAGTATTCCTACCACAGAACAAAAACACATTGATTCTTTTCCAATATATGATATATCAATATTCAATCCAAATACAGATATTTTTTTTTCTTCCAGGATTTCTACCTATGCTCCCAAAAGCGGAGATCGCCTCACCGGTGACGCAAATGCAAAAATCTATCGGGCTTTGTGTGTTGTTGGAAACGAACCACCTTATACACATACAAAGACAGTCATCGCGAGCAAGCGTTGCTACATCTTGCTTTACTATGGGCTTGTAATTTGTATTGAAAAGACGAGAGAAAAAACATGTCGCCTCTCTCAGTGCAATTATCATATCGTAATTACCTCTCGCCGTACGCCAATCACCGCCTTTCAGGCTCCTGCTTTGTTCACATGAATAAGCGGGCAAAATTCGAGTGATTACGTTGAACGCTGTGTTGTAGTTGGCCTGCATATAATTTTTTCATTAATTATATTCTCATCTCTAACAGTTTTGAAGTTAACGAAGCCCGCCCCCACCAGATTAATTCCGCGAAAACGTTCACACACAACTGAACGACAAATACACCGGTCGCGATTTCATATAACCAAGTAGCCTACAAATGCAACCGGTTCACAAAGATTTGTGAATAGCTTTCTTATTATCGCAAAAGGAAGTACGGTACTTATTCCTCGTAAGCCGGAAGAAATATCCGGCACGATTCCAAATATGGAAATTATCAAAATATCGGAACAATAATTATGTGTTGTCGCGATTGCCGTTGAATAGGCCTACACCAGACTTCATAAGTCTTAGCTAGATGAGGCCAGAATTTCTAGATTTTGCTATTACGTTAAGCAGAGCACATGTCTATTTATCTTCTAACCTAATGCCAAACGTCATTATTATAACTAATATTAAAATACAACATGAAAAGAAGTATAGGCCTAACAAGACACAAAAATCTAAACAAATAACTGAGTCGCAAAACTGGTGGTGTTGTATGTGTGTGCGGTGAACCGTGGAGTTCCGGGTTCATTTCTATCTGCTTTCATTTTATTTGAGCTGGAGGGCTGAAAAGTATAAAAGTGTAAACGTCTCTCCTTGGTTCCGTGTGCAACATGACCCATGTACACGTTATAGAACGCAGTTAGGCCTACACTCTTCGGAAAAGAGTAGGGGCTTGACTCCCAATATACGTATACACAATTCACCACCAGAAGCACACTACTACTACTACTACTACTAGTAGTAGTAGTCTTTCGACTTTAGTGGGTGATCCTTGGTGTCGTCGCACCGAATAAATCCAATCCAATCAACATATATGGCCAGTGTGCAGTAAATTTATATCAGTGACTTTCAATAATACAAGTGCGATGTAATACATACCGGTACCATATACATAATGTAATATACTGTACTATAGAAAACACAGAAAATCATAACTAGGAAGGTTTTCCTTACCAGTTAATGATACACTTCTTTGGTCTTTTTTAGACCCTAATCCCCAGCCAATTTTAAATAAAACTTGATACATGGGTATCTGCTCTGCATACTGTGCTCAACCTTGGGAAAGCACACTTTAGTTATAAACGGATGTAAATCGGAAAGATCTATATGCCTACCACAGGAGGTGGAAGATTTTACATCCGATACAGACAGTGCTTCTAAGTGATGCTGTGTTCCGCTTCATCTGTTGTTTGATTGATTAAGTTTATTCGGTGACTACAAAACTCAGAACTTAGCCAAAATATCTATGCTTATATAAAATAATAACAATAATGGAAACTATAGCAAAATGAATAAAATATTTAGAGTAGGCCTACACGTAATGAACCTTCCCGCTAAGCCCCGCCCCTTGGATATTGTTGCTAAGGTCCCACAAAACGACAGTGTAGTGTTAAAACACGCGCGATTGTGGACACAACACGTGTGCTGATTAAGCTGGTTTTCCACTAGGCGAATTTATTCGCGCGAATCAAAGCGTCGGTTCGCTTCCTGAGCTCTGATTGGTTGCGCATTTTTTCGCATCGCAAAAACTCCGATAGGAATGTGAATGCGCATGAACCGACGCTTTCGATTCGCGCGAATAAATTCGCCTAGTGGAAAACAGGCTTAAGACAGCCAAGCGCGTTTTCTTGGCCCTGTTCTTATTGGCCACTTGTTCAGTTTGTTTGATCTGGAAAAGTCCAGTAAGCCGTCCTATTCAGTGAGAGTTACCCGAGTTATTTTTGTGTAGGCTTACAGTACCTCTTTAAGCCTAGTACTACCGCGGGAAGAAGTCTTGAGAGAAGAAACCTGAGAAGAGATTTAATACGATGGTCCAATATAATTGCAAATGAAAATCCGTACGCATAAAACTACGAACGTTAAGAATGAAATGGAAATATCAAAAAGAAGGTTAAATAAAATAGGCTACAAGGATGTACCATAAGGAACTTATAATGCGAAACGGAAAGAGAAAAAATCACAAGGAAAACAGAAACTTTGGCCTACATGCCTCAAAACCAATAAACACACGATGTGAAAATAACGTACTATGATAATAATGACGAAGATTATCAGTGTCGGAAAGGAGAAGGGGGGGGGGGATGTGGTTGAGCCGGCTCGGGCCCCCTAAACTTTTCAAAATTATAAAAAAAAATGAAGAAAAAAAGGAAAATTATAATCAGGTTTCGGTCTGAGAGTGCCATATTTCCAGCCATCTAGAGGTGGCCGCGATAATCAAATTTTCTTACCTCAGCTACAACCATAGTGGGGCTGAGGTGGTTATTCTCCATCTGTAAAAGTCCCTCCCTGGCCCCCTCTATTTCGAATTGCTGGATTCGCCACTGATTATGATAATGATGATCTTGCACTATCATCTGAAGTGCGTTATGCTGGGCCGTCGGCCGACGAGTCTAACCCCGCTCGCTGTGAGCGCCTGACGACACAACGCCGTCTGCTGATTGTCTGAGGCAGTCTGAGTGGTTCGTCATTAGAAACGATCCGTTGTGCCATGGTAGAGTAGGGGAAATTGCTGTGACACCGTTACATTAATAATATGCTCTATTGGAAGAAAACAATTGGCAGATACACTAGTAGCCTTTCAAAGGAGGAGAAACATACTGCAAAAAATTTGTTGTGACCTTGGCTTATATTGTACGACGGCATTTATTACAGTTAAATCTCATTGAAAGAGAGAGAGAAGACGAACTTCTGCAAAACGTTCATGAGTTAATTCATAACCATGTGGATGTGTATTCGAACTTTTTAAAGTTTTAACATCGGTCGACGACCGTCAGGCGGGCAAAGGGTGCCCTGTCTATTATAGGACTAATGTGAACAAGTATCTTTTTGAATTAAAGCAGGTCAAATAATTTTAGCAACATACGACTAACCTTGCAAAACCCTTTGTCAAGTTAACAAAGGCAATATAAAGCGGCCTTTTTGTTCAAATAATTTCTCATGGAGATGTTTAAGATAAAATATTATGTCTATAGTTGATCGCTCAGCCCTGAATCCACACTGATTCACTGATGCTATGATTTTCTGGAGCCTATTCATTAGGACCTTGGTAATGATTTTCCTGGTATTCCGGGCCTAACTTAACACACAATCACATCTATTCTTGTAGGATAATTCGTATGACTGACATACGGCTGCTCGTCAGAGAATCATGGGCCCGGTAGATAGGATAGGAGTATGATAGGATTAGGAGTATCGCACCAAGGATAACCCACTAAGTCAGAAAACCTGTTTCCAGTGTGCCTTCTGGTGGTGAATTGGGTACTGCATCGGGAGAAAATCCCCTACACTTTTCCGAAGAGTGTACTGCATTCTATCGCGTACACTAATGGGCCATCTCAGAGGCAAGAATGAATCGTCTTGTCCTCATAGGTTGGCCCCTTGCATCCCAACCAAGGCCGGCCCTAGGCAGCCCCGTAGCTTGGTTCGAACCAGGGTGATAAACAACTAACGCCTCTCTGTTTTGAAAACCTTGTCGCTCGTACCCCCTCCTTTTCAGCAACTTTCTTAAACCATCACTAGCAAGGAAATGAACCCATGCAGTTTAAATTTATTTATTTATTTTTTAAAGAATATAGGCACAATGAAAACAAACATCCTGTACTTGCTGTTGAATGTCAAGGAAAAAATAATTTGTTAATTAAATAGATGATGAAATCAAAACAATCATTACCAGCGAAAGCGAAACTTTTCATGAATAGGCATATTGTAAAGTTGAGTGTTTTGAGTGTTATCGGTACTTGATGCCAAGTGGCCTTTGTAGTGTTTAAATGTCATAAACATACAAACAAATAACATGTTTTTGTGTTACTGGTACGGTAATGCATTTAATATAATATAGGCTAATACACACAATATGTTTGCACCCATCGATTTTGATAATCATTTTCAATACTATGACGAGAGTATTCTATTCAATATCTTAACAGGCCCGGATCTTTTGATAAACTAAAGATCGGCCTAACTTAACCAAGTCTATTTTGGGGTCCACTAGTGACAGATTTGTTGTCAAAAATTTAAATATTAATATTAGTAATAGTAGTAATAGCAATAATTATTATTAATAATAATATTAATAACAAGTGTAGTGATAATTACAATCTATCTAATAGGGCCGCTACTATGTCTACTAAAGCTACCACTACCACCACCAACACCTTCACCCCTACCAATAATTATTATTATCATTATTATACAGTGGCGTAATGTAGAGGCCGATTCCCCTGGCTAAGGTTTTCTTCGGGCCGTTACGTTTGAGCTTCGTGGCACAGGTCGAGGCCCACGTCTGGTCCAGCGCTTTCTGATGGTTTTTTGTTTGTTTTTTGAATAACGTATTACTGTTCATTAAAGTGCCCTGCACTACTGGAAAACTTGCTGATTAAAATCCCAGGGCCCCCTAATGTCCCGGGCTCATGGCTTTAGCCAATGAGAGCTCATAGTCGTGACGTCACTGTTATTATTATAGTTGTTAAAGTTCAGTGCCAACTACCGTAGTAGTACTGTTGAAACGAGTTACTGTACGTCATTGTTAAAATAGTATAGGACAATGTATGCGTTGTGTGATTACGGCTTGGTACAGTTGGTTGCTCACTGGATTGTCAAAAAGAACATTATTAAACCATAGAGAAAATAGAACAGAAGGTTTTACTCTAAATCTGAGCCTGTTGTAGCGTAAAGCAAAATAATTTAAATCTTTTATATTCCAAATACTGCAGGTAGGCCTGTCTATAATAACAAGCATAACTGCTGTAGAATTGACGATTCTTATCTTATATTACTCACTACAAATTAAACACCCTCCCCATACTCGTTGCCAATTAACATAGTTACAGTGGTGACCATTAGAATAATGGAACGGGGAAGGGGGCGAGGCAGGAAAAGCGGAATAATGGAACGGGGAAGGGGAGAGGCAGGAAAAGGGGAATTGGCTGTTGTTACACAGTCTTAAGCTCATTCATAATTTTGATTGGATATTATTGTAAAATAATTTATTTATTAGACCTGAACAATAACTATGAAATTATACGGGTGAAAATGCAATACAATATCGGACCTAATATACGGTACGGTAACATACAAATACGAATAAAACATTATTTTCGACAGCAGAGAGTACTCTCTTTTCGTACAAGGATTTAAAATCGACAAGTTCAACTTCAATTATACTACTAACTCTTTTAAAAATTCTGTTATATTTATCTTTATCTTTGATTAGCAAGTTTTGATAAAAGCATATTAAGCAAAAGGTCATTACACTACGAATAACCGATTCGAAGAACAGACGAATTAATACAGTATCAATACCTAACATTTGAGTTAGTACCGTATACAAATATAAGATGAGCAGATTTGATTGATGTTAATACTGTACTTGTATGGCAATTTCGTGGGCTTGGTAACTGGGAGAAGACATAGAATTGTTTTATTCTTCCGTGACGCCGTTAATTACTGTATGTAAGTTTAGATAGACCTACATGTAGTACTTAGACAATGGTAATGTATATCTGACCGATATTAACTTTCAGTTTCATATAATTATTATTTTGTTAGCAGTCATTACTGGGAGCATAAAGCAGTAGCGAATGACATACATTCGCGGAGAGATCAGGTGGGGAGGGCGAAGACAAGCTGTCTCATTGTGGGACAAATAAGCGAACCCCTGTTGGGCTTTAGTGGAGTACAGCAGCACAGTGTGCATGAATTATTGCTTGCCGATTTCAGGCTCAAAATCTTTCTATTCTGTTCTATACATATTTTTCAAGCTAAAAAAAAAAACAAAAAAAAACAAAAAAAAAACAAAAAAAACAAACAAACCTATTTTAAAGCAGTCTGTACACTGCATTATAGAGGGTATTACATAGTCACACCTACTGGTAATAAGGTACAGGTAGATTTGTTGGTCTTTTTATTTAAAATCAATTTGACACTTTCCCTAAGCCTCCTTTGTTCTTATTTTGTTCTTAATTTCACCAAGCAATTTCACCCTCAGTGTGCTGTGCGGGTGTTCTTATAAATAATATAAGAGGAGTTCTTGAGTTTTTTTGTTCGACGAGTCGTGGTCGTATTGGCCGGTCTAACAGTAACAGAGGGATTAAGCTCCAATGTCCCCTCCCTCACGCTCGATGCCACTGGACTAAATATGTAATTTCACTGCTGAACTATGTGTTTGACCTTGTTTCCGAGCGAAACGGAACAGGTTGGGCACTTATTACTATACCGGTAGGTTGCAACGACCAGATAAACCGAGTAAACGCATGCAAGTAGACCGCGAGTGTTGACACGCCTTGTCAGAAAAACATCCACTCGAATATTGAGTGGATGTCTCGGTCTACATGAACGAACAGTGTTTAAGACAATGTAATAAAATAAAAGATAAAGAGCTACACTCACTGCAGCTTGTAGATTGGCACAATCTGTTTAGTTTCTTCCGGCTCGCAGCGCAGAGTCTACCATCATAATTGTATAGTACAATATATACTATTTCACCGGTACAGTGACAACTGAATTTTGGAAGATGATAATTTGAACTATTCATACTTCTTGGTCTCAGTAACTTGTATAGTATATTACTATTCTACCGACACAATGACAACTGAATTTTGGAAGATGACAATTTTGAACTATTCATAATTCTTGGTCTCAGAAAAGTATATTCTGCGCTGATAAACGCAGTTATTAGTATTGGTGCTAATGTTAAATACCGATATTAAGCAAGAGACGGAAGGACCTACCTTCGCCTTTACCAGTGGGATTTCGGATACAAATGAATTACAACGATGTCACGAACAGAATCGTCGGCTTTGTATATAAATCTAGTCGGGGTTTTTTTGAAGCGATGTGGAAGGCGTTCCACTTTTTCAAACAGAAATCACATAAAATCAATACAAGGACCCCATACACATCAAAGCAGCATATTCATCACAGCTAGCTTTATTATTGGTGCGCATTAATAAACTTACCTTCACACAATACAAAATAAACACCTTCTAAATAGTACTACGTAATTCCACAATAACGGTCAGTCGATACAAATAGTTCTAACAAAGAACCATCCTTATCACTTCAGTTTTATAATGATAATATTCCTATTCTTAATGACATCAAACAATTAAGTTAGTACTGAATTTTGTACTGATTGACTAACTAAAGGAACACCACAGTTTCAGAATATACACTGCGGTTTATCCTACCAGCTTACTTCCTGCTACGGTAGGCACGAGAGTTGGCGCGTTTCCGCCTACCTTAACCTGTGACCTTAGATAGAAGATCGAGGAAGTTTAAAAAGACAAACCTCAAGTTGTGATGACGTAGTGTGTAACAGCGTACATAATGCGGGTAGCCTGTGTAAGACAGAACGTGTGATTGACATTCCATGGTTTAGTAATAATAGTAATAATATTACTATCGTCTGCACACCCAAAGCAGACTATCGCGTTTACGATGTTCATTTTGGGATGACATGATGTCAACATTTCTGTAAGTTCTCGTATATGCCACCGCACACTCCACCACGCAATTCCAAGTTGTGCGTTGTCAGTGCCATCTGTTTTTCAAAGTGCCAGTTTCGCTCTCGCTCTATAAGCAAGTAGATATAAACATTTATTTATATCCTGTTGGAAATACATAATGCCTAGGCTATTTATTCAGGGTTATAGATCAGTCTTTAGAAAGGTCTGCATTTTATTTTGTTGTAGAACTGATTTTTCTAAGAGATAAAGTTGTTTGACGCAAAACTGGGTAACAGTGAATGAGATAGATTTTTGAATATTTAAAAACTGGAAGAAAAGGGGTACACATTTTTCTCCCATTCTTCTCATTTTTTTTCAAAAATCTGTATCTTATTCACCGTTCCCCCCTTTTTTTCCCTTTTTTTGGGTCAAATACAGTATGCCTTTTCGGTCAGTTCTACAACACATCACTTTTTTCTCCTCCGGAGTCTTTAAACAGCATTTTCGTAAAATGGGGGCGCACTTAACCCTGGCGATAAGGAAGGACAGGTTCGAGTTACATGGCATCCGCCTACATTGCATAACTTGGCGATAGAATAATAAACGGTTTTTTTTTTTTAAATTCCGTTTTTGGTCGATGAGATCATGGGCCTATAAATATAGTTTTACGTAAAGCTTTGTCCAAAGTATCAAACTGTATGACAAATAACTATGACGTTCACATTTAGGTGTAATACGACATCATCATGCCCATATATAGCCACATCACACATTTGACTCACACAATTTGATAGTGGACGGAGATTTCCTACACATCTAGCCACAGTCGTATTGGATCCGCAGAGATATATTATCTATGCTGAATATGTTGTGCCCCACCGTTTGACAAAACTCCGGATCCGCACCTGTTAGGGGTAAAGAGGCATATAATTAGGCCTACTTGTATAGCGCCTTTCTTTTCAGTTACGAAGCGCGGTAAGCGACTCTACACAATAAGTCAACCCCCCCCCCCCCCCAAGTAAAGCTTGCATAGAACCAAACCCAAGCAGATTACTAACTTTTAACTAATGCAATAAAGCAGTAGACGGGTTGAACAAGTTGGATGGAGTTGGAAGATCTTGTTAAGCGCACATGGGTACGTAGTGTTAGGTAATTGGAAATATACAAAGGACAGACGCCAGAAAGTGATTTGAAAACAAAAAGGAGAAGTTTGAATTTAATTCTTTACTGTACAGGCAACCAATGAAGGTCACGAATAAGGGGAGATGTATGAGTACATGACTTGCAAGAAAAATGAGTCTAGCAGCAGAATTTTGAAGTTTCTGCATGGTGTATAAATCTCCTTTTAACAGGCCACTGTACAGTGAATTGCAGAAGTCCAGTAACAAGAGTGTATACAAAAATAAAACAATATACACATGTACTGACCTTATCTTTAATATGTATTTATCGGTATTCGAGCGGGAAGGAATACAATGAATGAAAAAACAATTATCGTGCCCGATGCTTGTGTGAAATACACACTTCGACTTAGCCGGAATTAATTGAACATAAAAACTCAAATTCCGTCTTAAAAAATGCAGCAAGTAAGATTTCCTATTAATTATTTAATAAAAAAAAAACATCACGATTTGACTGCAATGAGTCAATGAACCTTGTCGTAATGTTACTCCAAAATTACGGGATGAAAATCGTCGAAGCTATAAAAGGAATAATATATACAAACTGAAAATAAAAAGAATAGAACATTAATATAAAGACAATGGATATACGAGGCACAAGATGTGGCAAGACCTTCACCAACCAGTGGTGGATAATAATAATAATAATAATAATAATAATAATAATAATAATAATAATAATAATTACTATTATGACTATGGTAGGTATACGATACAATAAAGATAAGGCCCTATAAAAAATATTATTATTTTATCACCATATCTCGGCAGGAAAAGTGATGAGGGAGTGAGGCTTTTTTTAAAATTTTTTATTTTGCTAAAGCCAAATATAACCCTTGGTTTGTTTGCTGGTGCACTGATATTCAATGTAAAACATGATTTAGATAATGCAAACAATATCTACTAACTATTTAATAAAATAAATGAAAAAAATAAATAAATAAAATAAAAAAATTTTCAAATTTTTTTTTTTCAAAAGTTTT